TTATAACTGTAATTGAGAATATTATCGACCTTAATGTTACCCTTTTTAACAATTCTTTTATGTAGTTCTATATTCATAATTTTTACAAATCTAGGCCACTTTAGCAGCTACTAAATTAGGAAACCCTATGAATACGGAACTAACCAACAATATTCTCTATTCATTAATTTTGAGTTATTTAATTATCATTAATTCAATCACAATTTTAATGAGATCACTATTTTTATGATTTCTAAAATTTCTTTTATGTGATTGCTATTACCAATATAATAATAATTACTCTGGATGAACAGGAATATTTATATATGTATTATAACAATCATGAATATTTAAAATAATGGTTAATAAGAATTACACCTAATATGAATTAACCACTTTAATATTTAATATTCAATGTCATAAAATTATATCATGATATCAATTTTAAATCATGAAAATATATAAATATTTAACAATAATAGACAATAAGTGTGCATAATTAAACAAAGCAAAAACATAATCCTCTAATGTGATACAATCAAATAAATATATTTATTTAATGGTCCGAACGATTCAGCAAAATTCTAAAATTGCTTTTAATCTATGCACTTTATCATAACGGCAAGCAATACACTAAATTCAATAACATATTATGATGATTATAAAAATTATTATCACTAAAATTGATAATAAATCAAAACATGCATATGAACAACATATAGAATTACATAAAAGTTTGCTCCTAACATATCACAAAACAAAGTGAGTGAGGGAGTCCATGATGTGCATTCTTAGTTACGATTTAGAAATCAGGAATGAAATCTTCTTTTACACAACCTTTGATTTTTAACAACACAAAAAGAGTTTCTTTGATGCATAATGAATATGAAAGAGATTAGATGTACCATTCAGACACTGCCTAATAAATATGGTATGCAGCTTACAAGGTTGAACATATAGCGTATATTCAAGATAACCAACACATGCCGAGAGTTCAAACCTTATGAACAAAAAATATGTTGTTATGAATAATTATAACTATAATAACAATATTCATAAATATATTATTATTCCAAGGTGTATTGATTCACAAACTAAAGCTCTGATACCACATGTAAGATTTAATAATACATGTAACCATAATAATAATGCGGAATTAAACTTTACAGGATCTTGAATTCAATACAACTCAAGAATAAAACGAACATACCTTTGTCAGCCATTGAATTAGAGAAGTTGAGAAAATACCCCTAATAGTTGAACCTTTAATTCTTGGCTCACCTTCTTCTCTCTGTCTCTCACTTTATTAGGATGACTATAAAACTTAGAGTGATGAAAAAATACTCATAATATGAAAGGGGAGTCACCCATCCTTATATAGAGGAGAGAAGAGGGCCAGATAAACTCTATCAGAAGAATTCCTAATCCATCAAGGTTTCCTTCTTATCTTAGAAGAGTGATTATATTAAAATTCTATTTACTGAACTTGATCTCAAAATATTGGCTTTATCTATTTGTGGAGTCCAAAAAAATTAAAAACATGTAAAAAATATGTAGGCTATTGGGCCACACTAAAAAAATAAATCCAACACTAGGCTCCACAACAGTAGTGTTCGCCGGTGTAGCCGGTAACAAGTTCTTATTCTCGAACGAGAACAGACTCGTCCAAGCATGGTGGCCTAGCTCCGTCAACAAAGTCTTCCCATCCTCAACCCAAACCTCTTCCAAACAAAAATCAATCATTCTCAGAAAAATGCTCCCAAACTTCCTCAAACCCGAAGCTTTACAACAATATATTGGTGTCATGGATACCATTTCACAGCGACACTTCGATTCCGATTGGGTTGGCAACGAAGTGGTGGTTTTCCCTCTCACCAAGCGATACACATTTTGGTTGGCTTGTCGCTTGTTTATCAACATCGATGATCCGAACCACGTCGCTAAATTTGCAGATCCTTTTGGGATTTTAGCTGCTGGAATTTTTTCCATCCCTATCGATTTGCCTGGAACATCGTTCCGGCGAGCTATCAAGGCCTCGGAGTTTATTAGGAAGGAGCTTTTGGCGATTATTAAGCAGCGAAAGGTTGATTTGGGAGATGGAAAGGCTTCGCTGACACAAGATATATTGTCACATATGCTTGTGACGAGTGATGAAAATGGAAATTTCATGAAAGAGGCTGATATTGCTGATAAAATCTTGGGTTTGTTGATTGGTGGCCACGACACTGCTAGCTCCGTCTGCGCTTCCATTGTCATGTTTCTTGCGGAGCTTCCTCATGTTTATCAACGAGTGTACGAGGGTACGTATCTATGCAAGCATATTTATTCTATTCTATAAGCACGTATAGTTTTGGATTCTCTCGGGCACTTTTTTAATACCACAATTCCATGTTGGTTTATTGTCACCTAAGTCAAATAGGTTATTTTAGTAATTTTTTTAATTTTTGACAAAAAGATATACCAAAAAATAAAAAAAGTGATATAATAATTTATAGTGATTTTTTGACTAAAACTGAAAGTTGCCAAATGAGACCTTATTTGTGGCCTTTGAATTAGTTGCTAGATGATATTGTGAAGAAAGTGTTAATGGTGTTCTAAATATCAGCCGATACTTATTAATATTTGAGATCTCTAATACTCGTTATATATTTATTGGTATATTGGTTGATACAGTCCGATATTTTTAGTCATATCACTAATAGCCATACGTTATCTAATATTGCTATTTAGAAAAAGAAATAAATAAATAAGTAGACTATTTTTGAAATCATACTTGCTAGTTAAAGTCCTTGAAATTTGAAATCTTAAAGTGATAAGGATAAATTTTAACATATATAGTCCAAAATGACCTTATAATCCAAAAAATCTTAATCTTTTTTGTTGTATCTCTCGTAATGTTGTTTCTCTCTTCTGTGAGTTTTTACGTTATTTAAGTGATTTCAAAATTTAAAATTTAATAATTTTTTTATTACATCTTTAGAATCCTATTTGAAATTTCATTGACCTACGTAAAATTTCACTAAATTAAAATTTCACCGACTAACCAAAATTTTACCATTGACTTGGTCATCAAAATTTTATTGACCAACCAAAATCTCACTAATTTAGATTGACTTGGTCATTGAAATTTTACTAACCAACCAAAATTTTATTGACCTATCTTAGGTTAGTAAAATTTCATCACGTTTTCGTTTTATAATTTTGTATTCATCATGCATCTTATTTCATAGATCTTAACGAAATGATTTCAAAATTACAAAAAACACTACAAGAAAATGCACTTTTGGCGACTAAAGTTTTAGTCGCCAAAAGTAAGATTTTTAGTCGCCGAAGCCTTTTCCTGACTAAATATTTTGGTCGCTAGATTTGTCGCGGGAAAACGGTCGGGGAAGGTTTTGGCGACTAAAAAAAATTTAGTCGCCAAAAGTCCTATAAATGGCTACTAATGTTTTAGTAGGGGAAAGTACGAGGTATTGGCGACTAAATATTTTTTAGTAGCCAAAAGTCATAAATTGGCGACTAAATATTTAGTCGCCAAAAGTTTTCAAATAAAATTAATTTTTATTTTCAGCGACTAAAACTTTTAGTCGCCCAAAGTATCATTTATTATTAGCTACTAAATATTTAGTCGCCAAAAAAAATTAATTTTCATTTTTCTTTTTAGCTACTAAACTATTTAGTCACCTAAAGTCTCATATATTTTTTACTACTAAATTTTTAGTCGCAAAAAAATCTTTAGTTTGTTTTTGGCTACTAAATTTTTAGTAGTCAACAAGTTTTATTTTGTTTTTTGGCTACTAAACATTTAGTCACCAAAAAAGAAAAAAACTAGAACAAAAGTTATAAAATTTTCAAACTTTAAATGAGTTAAAAAAAAGTAATAGGTGGTATTTGAAGGGGTGTAATAGGGTTATTTTTCTCACTTATGTTTTGGAGAACCTATACTAATATAGACAATTATGTTGTCATTATCTTTCTAAACAAATATTATTAGGGATCACTACTACAAAAACAGATAAAGATCACACTTTTTTTTGTGTGATGTTTGTTATTTAATACACTACACTTTTTAGTTTTATTAAAGTGTGATCTTTGGGAGTGTGATTAAAAGGGGTCATTTTTAATCACACCTTTTAAGTGTGATTAAAAACGTTTAGATCACATCTTTTAAGTGTGATTGATAACATTTAGATCACACCTTTTAAGTGTGATTAAAACCTTTAGATCACACCTTTTAAGTGTGATTGATAACATTCGATCACACCTTTTAAGTGTGATTGATAACATTTAGATCACACCTTTTAAGTGTGATTAAAAACCCTTTAGATCACACCTTTTAAGTGTGATTGATAACATTAGATCAACACCTTTTAAGTGTGATTGATAACATTTAGATCACACTTTTAAGTGTGATTAAAATATTTAGATCACACCTTTTAAGTGGATTAATTACATTTAGATCACACCTTTTAAGTGTGATTGATAATATTTAGATCACACCTTTTAAGTGTGATTAAAAACATTTAGATCACACCTTTTAAGTGTGATTGATAATATTTAGATCACACATTTTAAGTGTGATTAATTACATTTAGATCACCTTTTAAGTGTGATTAAAAATATTTAGATCACACATTTTAAGTGTGTATAATAACATTTAGATCACACCTTTTAAGTGTGATTAAAAATATTTAGATCAACATTTTTTAAAGTTTTGTGATTAAATAACTAATAAAACCTGCGATAATAAATATTTAGATCACAGATTTTAAGTGTGATTAATATTAATAAAACACGTGATTAATAATCAGATAAGATCACATGTTATATGCATTTGAAGAATGTAATACACACTATTACTATATTTTGAATCAACAACCATATATTGAATGGAATAAACATCATATCTTTCATAAATGAAAGTTAAATGTTCAAAAAGTATATACAAAGGAATTGTAAAAAGTTTTTACTGTGCTTACTATATTAAAAAATAAAAATAAAAAACTTGAAAAACCTAAGTTGTTGAATTCTTTGACATATTTTGCATTTCTCTCAAGAAATTTCTGACCTGAAAAATAAAAAACACAATTAATTCAGAAACCGCTAAAAGATATGAATAAACTTAATATTTTTGTAGAGACTTACAAAAGATGAAATCGAACATTTTCTCATCACACTGACTCTTCATCTCCTGCATCAATGGCAAAGGAATAACAACTTTGATTGTTATATATATAAAATGTTTGGATTACCATATATAATATGCATATTATATAGAATCAATAAATTCAAAATGAAAATCTTCAATGTAATGAGCAGATATTTTAAAGTCATAAAACCAAATATACATAGAATCAACAATCTAAAATGAAATCTTAAGTGATTATATATTCTTTACCAACTAAAGAATTGTTGATTAGTAATTTAACAACGGAAGTTATATCATACTTACATTGGATTTCAACTCATATTCTTTAGTACGAAATTAATCCATTCAAACTCGCACTTCATCAAGTTCGGTTTCCGTGTAAGTCTTTTTTCCATTGAACTGCAAGAGGTTATTTACAAACAATTAGATAATGAAGAAGACGTACAAGTATCATGAATATAATAATAATAAAAGTTTAGAATTTATCTCACATTTTGTTTCCTTAGGATGCTTTGATCTCTAATGAGGTCTTTCATATACCGCATTACATAAAACCCACATTCCACGTTTGTAGGTGTTTGCGGGGACTACATAAAAGCATTTTCATTATTATTAGAAACTATATATAAAGTGTTATGATCAAGCTGAACAATCATTAGCATAATATTAAGTATGATAAAATTAGAGAAAATGATATTATTACCTGAACTACTTTCCAAACTGGATTGGTCCTCCTCCTCTTTTGGGTAGTTTCATAAATTTTCAAAGCACTTTACAAAAGAAATTCCAAATGTCAAATATATTTTTAGAGTAACTCAAATTGCTTAAAAATGTAGAACTAGCCAAACTTACATGTTTATTACAATTTCAAAGCTTGTGTTTATTTTTAGAATTAATCGGATTCAAGTAAGTACACATCATCAATGTTAGATCAATGACTAACAATATCCAATGGTACTACAATTGAAAAGTCACAGTATAAGCTTAATAAGTTTATTATCATTTGAACACATGAAATAAATAGTTTTAGATAATTACCAATATTATAAGGAATTAAATACCAATTGTTTCTGGCATAGCCTCCTCTAATCTTCTTGCAAGCAACACTGATTTTGATTTCTCCCCAGCATAGTTTTTTTTGCTAACGCACCAAGGGTTACAAATACAAATTGTTCCTCTCTAATGGAAGCCTTCAACACTTGATGGAGATGACTAATAAATAAACAAATTTTTATATTTAAAATTCATAATTTATAAATCTGCAAGAATAACTATTGATGTATGCAAATTTCTTATCTTATGTACAACATGATACATGTAACAGATAATTCTTTTACATGATTATTGTACTTCCATGTCTACTTTTTGAAGTTGGACATTGATCGTCCTCCCAATATGATCTTTCTCTAGTGGAATGTCCTATGGCTTCATCATACTTGATGATGCTCACACTAATGAACAAATTTGAATGGACTCTTGATTTTTCCACATTCAACATTAATTGAAGCTCCCTAAGTTTAAAATTTTCAAATAAAACAATATTAAGGTCAACTTTAACTTAAAGAAATTGCAATGAAGTTTCTAAGTTTGAATATTTTACCTCATCACTGACAATAACAAGATTTTTGGGCCAGGCAACACAAAATCCACTGCTTCTCAACAATAAGCCACTCATCTGGGATAGGTATAGGAGGGGCCATCTTTTTGAATAACAACTTCACCAAAAGACACAGTACATTGGATTCTCCTAATGGCACTGTATGAATGGCTTCATTGTGTTCAATTCTCTCATACACCGTACCATGGCAACAATATTTTCAATGGAACCTATCGCGAGTTTACATGGTTTTGCCCCTATAACACAAAGTTAAAAATGTTAACTTCTAATAATATCACTAACGATATTAGAAATTATAACATCAATAGATAAAAAATACACACCTTTCTCTTATTTTGTTTAGGATGTTTGAGGTGGAATGTGTCCTTAGTTCTCACCATATTTTCTGCTAATAAAGAATCATGCTGAAAATTGCCTTCTACCACCACTTTTCATGTGTTTGAACATTTGCTCTATAACAAACACACAAATAACAACAAAAGCACTAATAAATTACTAACAGTATTAGAAAATATAACACTTTAGGTGTTCTA